CCACCCACCCACCCCAACACTGGCTCTCGTTTCTTGATCAGATTTAATTTTTATATACTGACAGTAACTATATAAAAAAAAATATACTATAATAACCTGTCTTATTTTTAAAGTTTGTAATCCCTCTCGATTGTGTAGAACTTTTTTATACTATAAACGTATGGAAGTTAAATTCTTATGGACACCCTCCGATCCATTTATCGTGAACCAGAAAAACCATTGTGTAAATGGAATAGGGCGGTTTTGATATGATTAAAATAATGCCGACCATGCAAAAGAACCATTCTTCCACTAAGAAGCACTTACTATAAAATGGAATATTTCACTTTGAGAACTTGTAAGTAACATAATTGAACTACTTGCATAGTCTTTCAACTTGTTTACAAGTGCTTGCTTTTTAGTTGGTGGTCACATAAACAACTTCATTTGTTGTTGTTTTTTTGACTTCCAAGAACGTGGGTGCCTTGCCTTATATCCTTCTAACTTCTGAAAAACCTACTGATAATGACAAAAATAAGCATGATCTTTTTAGTCTAGTGAAAATTGACATTTTATTTTTCTATATAGGATTAGTGAGGGGTCTAGTAAAACAAGTAGCCAAATTGTGTTACTTCACTTCCCTTTAAGTTCTATAAATACTCTGTTTTAGTTAACAAGCTATACTAGCTGGACACAAATTATGGAATTCACTAGATTTTGCTTCTTGGTTTTTTCTGTTTTCTTGATTTACAATGTTTGTTCAGTTCATGGTAGGTTCTATGATTATCCCAAAGTGTCGCGTTTTCGTGCATTGTCACAAATATCAATGCCACCTTCCCCTGCTCCTGCTCCTGCCCCTGCCCCTGCCCCTTCCCCTGCACCTAAGGATGATCCAACAATTGACAATGTGAAGAATTCATCAAATGATTATGCAGCAGGCATTTTCAATGTGTTGTCTTATGGGGCTGTTGGTGATGGTGTGATCGACGATACACAAGCATTTAAGATGGCTTGGGATGCTGCTTGTCAAGTTGATTCAGCTATTCTACTGGTTCCAAAACACTATTCCTTTATGATCCAATCCACAATCTTCACTGGTCCTTGCAAAAGTGGGCTAATTTTTAAGGTAATGTGACAAACTATTTCAATTTTTTCATGTACTTGAAACGTTGTTCGATAATTGTGTGAAGTGACTAATTATGATTGATGGTGTAGGTTGAAGGAACCATTATGCCACCAGATGGACCTGATTCATGGCCAAAAAGTGTCAGTAAGAAACAATGGTTAGTCTTTTACAGAATTGATGGGATGTCAATGAAAGGTGGTGGACTCATAGATGGTAGAGGAGAAAAATGGTGGAATCTTCCTTGCAAACCACATAAAGTAATTTTCTTGATCCACTCGTAAAGTTGTTGTCATGTGACCAGGAGGTCACGGGTTCTACAGCCTCTTGCAGAAATGCAGGGTAAGGTTGCGTACAATAGACCCTTGTGGGTGGTCCGGCCCTTCCCTGAACCCCGCACATAGCGAGAGCTTTAGTGCACCGAACTGCCCTTTTTTATTTTACAAATTCGATTTAGGATCTTGAGTTTTGTATATAATGTAAAACACTTCAATGCAGCAGGGAATAAATGGAGCAACTCTACCTGGTCCTTGTGACAGCCCTGTGGTAAGTTCAAACACACATTGTTTTGTTTCTTTAGACCAAAAGACCATAAATCTAAAGTATGTTCAATTTTACAGGCTATAAGGTTCTTCATGAGCTCAAATTTGACAGTGCAAGGGCTTAAAATCAAGAACAGCCCACTGTTCCATTTCAGATTTGACAGTTGCCGCGATGTCCATGTTGACTCACTTTACATAAAAGCACCACCTCAGAGCCCCAATACTGATGGAATTCACATAGAGAATACCAATGATGTCACAATAAGAAACTCAATAATCTCCAATGGTAAAATCTCAAGTTCTTGGAAAGTAAGTTATAGAGGGTTCTTCGCGTATTCTCTTTCTGAGCACAACCATTTTATGTTGTAGGTGATGACTGTATTTCAATTGGAGCTGGTTGTTACAATGTTGATATAAGGAACATGACCTGTGGTCCAAGTCATGGAATAAGGTATATTCAAATGCTGCAATATCACACCATCTTTTTATGTCAAAAAAGTAACAAATCAATTTTGCACCACAAGCATAACCTTAAAAAAATGGCACATTAACTAACAAAACTGCCAGAGTGAAAGAGGTATGCCCTACCACTATACAAGAAAAAAAAACACTTTTAAGCCCATAACAAGATGTCTACTCTGTCTTTTTCCTCTTTCCCTTTTCCCAAATCTTGAATATAAAGACTCTGTCTTTGCATAATTTTCAGCATTGGCAGTCTAGGCATTCGCAATTCCCGGGCATGTGTATCCAACATTACAGTTCAAGATTCAACTATTAAGTATTCAGACAATGGTGTTAGGATCAAGACATGGCAAGGAGGATTTGGGACAGTATCCAACATTAATTTCAACAACATTAGAATGGAAAGTGTCCGAAATCCGATAATTTTAGATCAATATTACTGCAACACAAAGAGCTGTGCAAATCAAACTTCAGCAGTGTACATATCTGATGTGATTTATTCAAACATAAAGGGTACTTATGATGTGAGAAGTCCACCAATGCATTTGGCTTGTAGTAACAGTGTCCCTTGCACAAATTTGACTTTTTTGGATGTGGAGTTATATCCTGCTCAAGGACAAAAAATCTTGGAACCATTTTGTTGGAATGCTTATGGAGCTCTAATGACTCTTACAATTCCACCAGTTTTTTGCCTGTTGGAAGGCACACCTCAGTCATTACCAAGTAATGATCTTGATCAATGCTGATAGATGATTTGCTAAGAATAGAAACTTGTAAAAGATGGAGTAATTAATAGTATGTATTAAAGTTTTAGCTCTACTAGTATTGTTGCAGAGGGGACTAAAACTTAAGTGTAAGCATGTATCTCTTTGTTAATGATATAAAAGTATATTTTAAACCATGGTATACTATGCTTTGTCAGTTTTAGAATATCTTCTGCTTTCCTTTTGATTTAACTTGCATACACACACTGATAGTGTAAATAACTTTCAAGTATCAACTTGTCATATAAGCCCAGACTCTTCACTTTTGATGCCGCACCCGTGTCGGATTCTCCAAGAATATACTATTTTGGCGAATCCAACACACACCCCTTGACATTTTTGAAGAGTCCGAGCAACATAGAGCCCAGTACACAAAGCATCCCAAGTTAGCAAGGTTAGGGGAAGGGTCGCAACCCAAAGGGTGTACGGCAAACATTAGTGGAAGTAGATTTCACATGCTCGTAAAAAGGTAAAAAGTAACATTGAAAATAACGTAGGTTACCTTCTATATATCATGATAAATTACACTAGTAGTGTAAATAAGTTGAATCAAAAGGACGATATCAAACTCAATGGTTGTACGAAAATAGGTTTGGCAATCCCTTTTACCTTTTTGAATTTTCTAAATTTAGTACTAATTACAGTAGCAGGTAGGTTAATCGTACACATAGGTTAACTCGAGATGTCCCTATAACTAGAAAATCTCTGGAGTAAAAGACGCACAACAGCTTTTTCCTTTAGGTAAAACATGCAGCCAAATACTAGTGATTCTAATTAGTGACGATATCCTTTTGTGGTCCCAACTAATCTAAAATGTGCGAGTTTATAATATTCCTAAAAATTTGAAAAAATCACGACTTCTATTAAGGTAAAAGAAATTTCTATCTCTCCCTACACAAATACTCGATGATAGTTGTTCAACATCATCATCTACTCAAGTTATTAATTATTACAGAGGAGGGCGAATGGAAGGGCTAGAATGACATTAAATTAAAGAAGATCCAATAATTAAGAGTATGACATGATTAATGTAATAGTGGGAGTGGCAGAGCTGACAGCACTATAGTCTATAAATGGAAAAAATTGAGGTCCCAACATAGCAAATGGAGGAAGGCGGCGCTACAACCTACAATTCACCCATTTTCAATTTCTCAAACACGATATATATATATAGCACACAAGTAAAATGTAGTACGCAATTCTTTTAACTTAGCTGTAGGGGCGTGCTAAATAAAGTAGTGGCCGGTGCACGGGGAACCTATGTCATGAATTCTTCTACTCTATTTCCTAGTAACTACAAATGATTTTATTTTTTTAATTTTTTCGTTTCTTTGAAGGTCACGTGCTTGATTATACTATGTCATGAATTCTTCTATTTTGTTTTCTTTCACAGAAAAACCCGGAAAGTATGCATAAGTTGTAATTCTCTCCTTTTGTGTTGAAGGTAGCTAAGTCTTGAACTTTGAACTCCGCGGGCAAAACTTCAAGTTTATGAGTTTTGACCTTGAAGGGTCGCCCATGAACCAAGTGGGAGTCAAAAGTTCAAGACCACGCATTTTCAAGGTCATTGGGTGTAATTTTCTGCCCAATTTTGTTACTATGATCAGCCAAAAGAACAGAAAGACACTAATGCAAGAACATAAATTGAAGGACAAGTTCCTATCATGTCCATTACTTTGAAAAGAAGATACAGAAAGCTGTAAGTTTGCTCGCACATAAGCATGAAACATCTCCAAATCAACGAGATTAACCACCCAAGGAATGTTGACGAAGATACATGTACACACCAAATGCATTTGCCATTCACTAAAAGTTCACCGTTTATTAAAGCATTACATTTATATCCAGATCAACCTTCTTCTGCATACACAGCATAAATAACAAGGCAAATACACTTCCGGACACAGAAGTCAAGGACTAGTATAAAGAGGCGAGTAGCTCCAGCAAAGAAGCAGCAAATTGCATTTGTGTCTCCTCGTCTATGGTTAGGAAGAGGGGCACGTGTACAAATAGTGATCGGACACCATTCTGCTCTGCAAAACGCAAGGAATGGTAGTATACATAATTGCATACAAACCGGCCTGCATCATCAGAGGTCATTACTTCATATCCCATCTTTGCCAATACCTTGGTCATTTCCTCCACCGGAAGAGAAGTCTAGACAAAGAGAGAACACAGTATAAGGAGAAGTGGTAAGACACCTATAGGTGCAAAGACAAACGAAAATAAATTCTTCCTGGATCAGAAGTTACAGGAAGCATCTATTTCCAGTCAGTTCGATCTGCAGAAAGATTAGATGCTAGTACAAACTCCCCACTCCAGAAACTAGATGTTCAGAGAAATCGGTGAGATCCTCCTACAGGAAAGAATTTCCACAGTGTGCTCTTCTCTTTCCCCATTTCTAAAACTACCTGTTCGTCGGACATCTTTGAATAGAGATACTACCACGTGGTCCAAGATTAGGCTTTAACCTTATTTATCAAAAAGAAAACAAAAAAGAAGTGGAGAAACCTAAGTTGATTTCCCTTCCTTTAGCTACTAAGATTTTCCGTTTGCTAAGTTTGAAAAGTCCAAAGAGCACCGACTAGACATGGAGCTTGGATACGGTTTCCCGATCGGAGATCCATGAATCACAGACCATCCGTGCTTAGGCAGATAGGGAAAATGAAAGAAGTGATTATGCAGGGATCACTTGAATCAAATAAAGGTATGGAAATGAAAAAATATCAAGGGGTCATCACTTATATATAAGATGGAGAAATTAGTGTTAGCTTGGATGGCAACTCCAACTATTCAAGATAGGAAATATATTTCCAACAAGCATTACACCACTTCGTTATTCATCAGCTCCTCCCTCCTCAAGGAAGTCACAAAAGTGACTTGGATAGTACGAAGCAAAGCAAAAGTGAAATAATTTAGAAGGCCATGTTTATTGGTGTTGGTAACAGACTAACAGTTCACAATGTCATAATCCCTGGAAACTAGAATATTTTTCAGTAAAAATAAATGAATAAAAATCTTTAAAAAGTTCATGAGCTCGGAATTTTAAGAGAAGAAATTGGATTTAAATTGTATATCATAAAATGAAGAATCAATAACCCTCGCACCATAGGTCCCTATCTTTCCGTCCGGTCCTAGTGCATTTAAAGGTTTATGAAGAACATGACCAGAAAAGGAAAGAGAACCTTTGAGGCTGGAATATTAAGCATTTAACTCAAGGTTTAGCATGCATAAGCATGGACGGTGAACCAACAATCTTGAGCTTCCAAAAAGCTTATGACTTTGCCTTTACAAATTATTTCCTCAGCCCAGTGCTCTGTGTCTATTTCCAGCATAGGATGCCCAGAATTGTCTTTTGTCTTTCTACAATTAGTTATACCTAAGCACTTCTATCTTCCGAACTAACTAATTTTTTAGATCATTATTTATAAGGGGATCATTCCCTAGTAGGGTCATACATTACTTTTACTTCTCAAACAAGTGGAAGTTCATCATCAATACTTCATACAAAGGAACTAAGGAAGTAAACAATCAATTTCTCTGGTCTTGCCCTCCTGCTCCCCTTTTGGAAACCAAGACAAAGTGTTAACTCAAAAAATGGTGTCTAAAATTCAATGAAGTGTTAAACCAAACACCCTTCAACTTTTAAAATATGGAGTATAAACTTCAATGAAGTATGAACTAATGCATAAAATGGTTTCATATAAGTACCAACCATATTTGGTTGACTTCAAAGTTGGGTAACAAGATAAACATTAAATTTTAATAACCATTCTACAGAAATCATGAGAGATGGATGCAAGAAATCATAATACCTCTCGTTTACGTGAAATTGCCCCATCTGCAGGAACAATAGGGACTTTCTGCAAGTAACAGGATAAAAATCTTGAGTTCAGTTGATGAACTGAACAAACTGAAACAGGACAAATGAAAACTGGAAGGTCTTTTAACTAACCTGAGGCTTCCATCCCATCTCATCTGGACAACGGAAAGTAGCTTCATTGACAGCCTGATTCTCTATGGCAAACATTGTGGCACCACTATTAACTCCAAAATGTACCTGGATGAAATTACCACGAATTAGATTTATCTTGGTATATGAAGTACAAATATTGGGCATCAAATTGACTGTTGACAGAGAACTCGCAACAAAGACTCTAGAGCATAACCACAATATTCTCTAGCCACTTGAACACCATAAACTCCATTCCCTCCTCATGTCATCATGGAGTGGTACTCCACGCAACTATGTTAAGTCATATGTGCTCTGTATTCTAGATCTCAGAGGAATTAAAAAGTTTAGTGGTATTCTCTATACAAGAATATGTCACTCAGCAATTTCAACGAAAAATGGACAACATTTCCCCTCACAAGTCACAAGTATAAAAGATAAAGGCACGACGAAAGAATTAGGTCATTTGGTTGTAAACAAATAAACAACTCTCTCTCTTTGTTTAGCTTTATCCCTCCCCTTTTCCCCCATTTGCTACCTTTATCCCTCCCTTTTATCTCTCTTCTCTTAACACCTGAATACAATCCTGATTTTATAAATGATTCAATAACTGTACTAAGTCTATGAAACAAACCCATTTTGTTAAGGTAAATTTGTGAAACATTCTAATTTCTAGCAACATATTTTTGGTAAAGGTAACATTTCTAGCAGCATATTTAAGTACACTTTTACAGGATTGGGTCCAGAACAGGATTTGGATTTCATCTCAGATAATCCCAAAAGCCTAGAGTATATATAAGGTGCCGCCTACACATCATAGCATGCGTCAAATTTCTGAAAAACGGAAGTATAGCGGTTTTCAGGATTAAAAAATTAATTTAATGACCATTTCGTCAGCAAATGGATCCTTCCACAAATACAAAAGCAGTAGCACCCTGCATCATTCAAAGATGATCAATTTGTATGAACTATGATCCAAAACTTCCATATCGGACACGACAAAAGTAGAAGTGTGATATTTCCAAGATAAAACCAACCACATCTAAATTAAAGGTCATACATTTCGTAATAGGAGAAAAGGAACACTAATTGTGTCATGATACGACATGGTCCTGTCAGATTCCATAAAGAAAAATTTCCATCTTTATGTCATATTAAGGTCCAATAGAATTAACAGCCATGTGACCTTTTTTTTTTTTAGAGAAAGGTAACAGTTAGTCTATATATATATCACAGGTATACTACATCAGAAAATGTAATCCCCCTTCAAAAGTGTTGTAGTTACATAAGGTCCTATTTTCTAAGTTACAACCAATGTATAAGCTGCATAAATAGCTTCTGTTTACACTTAACACCAAAAATAATACAGAGCTACACAATTTTAAAATGGCCATGTGACCATTTTCTAACTTAAAGAAATAAAAAACCTATCATTTCCTCATTTGGACACTAGAACAAAGTTAAGCATGAAAGGTAAAAAGAAGCCAAGTGAGCAACTAACCCAAATAACTCTCCTGGAATTAGATGACTCCGAGTCACCACCCTTTAAACCAGCTTGCAGTGTCTGATACAAGGGAACTAGGGCTCCCTGGCCTGCAGTATCAAGGATGCTGCAACTCCCAAGGATCAGCCCTTTGGGCATACCCCTTTTCTTCATATAATCTTTAAGATTACTTACAATGGTTTCTGTTGGATTTTCAGCAACTCCATGAAATTTCTTGAAACCAGTCACATGTACGATCACAGGTGAAGGCCCTTCGGACCCCATCTATCCCCTAGTCAGACGAAACTGAAAAAAATTCAAAGCATCAAAAATAGATTCACTTTCTAATTAAACACCTGCATAAAACAAAACTATGAACCAAAAACCTAAAAAGATTTCATTGCAAGATTGTAAACCATAAATTCCCATCACAGCCACCACGGATCAGTGTCCAATTATGACAATCTTTCTGTCTCAAACTGATTTAAAAGTAGAAATTTTGCACCAACAGTAATCAATGAAGAAGAACAAAGCAAAACTTCAAACTATAGCATGTCAAAAAGGGATAAAAGAACAAAAAATAGACATTTGTGAAAACGATGTTGATAACAATTAAAGCTCAAAACTTTGATCCAAAATCAAACAAGAACCCAGGTTAGAATCTTCCCAATTCTTGTAAACATGAATGATTTCACAGACCAAGTTACCCCAAATTCATCACTAATAAGTCAAAGTCATGATTATAAACACAAAAAAAAACTAAACCCCAGTTGAAAATAACGAGAGATCATATGGATCAGAACCCCATAAATCATCAAGACTAAAAAGCAGAAAACTTAGAATTGAAAACATAAATTTTGTTACCTGAAAGCTGAAAGAGAGAGAGCCAAACGAATAAAGGACTGAAGCAAGTGGTCTTATCTGATCAAAAGGTGATTATAATGGTAGAAGACTACTGATTGGGATTCTTCCTTATTGATGAGTAAAATTTTGGAATATTATTAAAAAAAAAAATCGGATAAAGAACGTGGTAGTGGTGGGTCGTTATCATATAAAACAAGAAGTCATATTATTATAAAATACGTTTTACGTAATTATTGTGATGACTTTGTTGTATGTTTGTTTTGCCTTCTTGACTTGCAAATTGCAATAATCTCACCTCTGAAATAATTGCCTTTACTTTAACCTCTCTTCTTTTTTTTTCTTTTCTTGATTTAACTTTTATAACAAATTAGTACTTAATGGTTAAGAAATGATTGATATCAAATTATCTAAATAATACTCCAATTATAACTAGTTGGCTGTATAAGTTATAATTTATAGTATAAAGATTCTTGAGATTTGCTTAGGATGAAGGGAAGTAAATATGAAAAAGTAAAATTTAAGTCGGTGTTTGATCATAAATTTAGTTAAAATTTTAAAATTTATTGAAAAATAATTTTTAAAATTTAAAATTATGTTTGAACATGTATTTTACTTAAAAGGAACTTAAAATTTTAATAGTGACAGTAAAATTTCACCCAACAATTAATTAAATTTCATTAATTAAAAAAACTATGATCAAATGTAATCAAGTTACTATAACTTCCTTTTCACCCGCTTTCCTCCCTAAAAAATAAAAATAAAGAATGGAAAGGAGATACATTTCTTTATTTTTACTTAATTATTTTGCCGTGAAACAAACCTATGCGCTATTACCATATGATTTCCATTTAAAAAAAAAAAAGGAATTAAGTTCTGATTTTCTTTTTATTACATAGTTATAGAGGATAATATATACGACCCACCCTATATATTATGGAGTGTCAATCGACAGTACTTCGTTGAAATTTTTTAGTATTAAATATATTTAAAAATCTAAAAAAAATAGAAATATTCCTATAAATAACGTTAATAACACTGCTTGAACAATTGAGTTTCTTGGCTCGTTGATTTGCAACGCGAATGTAATGGTCATTATTCAAACTTCCAACTATTTATAATCAAATTAAGCTAAATTAAACTAGTTGCACTATAATATTTAGTACTTAGTACTATCTCCAATGAGGCTATTATCAATACATTTCAAAATATGATTGGTCAAAGAATTCGATTCTCTCAACCCTTATACATACATGATATATGTCACAACGTCTCTTCTACAAGGAGTGCTTAGATTGATTTATTTTCTATATTATTTTTAGTGATGAGAGATATGTTTTGAACAAGCTTATCAGTTATCACATTAAAAAATTACGTTCCTTAATAGTGTGCTCGTATCCGTACAATTTAAAATGAAACTGAAGTCTTCATGAGAAAAGTCTTGCTACCCAACAACTATAGTGAGAATAGTAACATTATAATACATACAAGATGACGTTTTTGGTTACTAATATTAGCCACAAATCTCTTGAGGTAATTGAGTCTTATCTTAATTGACAAGTATTTCTAGTATTTTAGTCTAGTTGGTAGGGACATGCACTATATTGACAGGTGGACTCAATCCTCTTCGATTTTAAATAGGTGCAATAGCACCCAACAATTTTTTTCATTCCAACATGATCTATTGTAAGTGATAAATTAGATATATATAATGTATAAGGGAGTAAGAAATTTAAGTTTATAAGTTATAAACTTGAGAAGAATTTATAGCTCGTTTTATAGTTATTGAATTCAATATAAAATATTTATATATATTTAATAAAAAATTTAAAATTAAATATACAAGATCTAAGCAAAAACTACTGAATTTGTATGAACTTGATTTTTTTGTGTAGTTAGGTGATATCATACCTTAATAACTTTGGTGCTTGCATAAATACATGTAACAAGTGTTATTATATACATATCCACAAATATAAAATATGATATTTACCCAACTATTTCTATTAACACAATCTATGAAAAATTGGGACAAAGCATTCGTATAACCTCATAGACTTCTTTTAACAACAATTTCAATTTGAATAAAAGGATAGTTTCTCTAAATTATCATTCAAATAATCAAATTCTCCCATAATAATATTTACGTTGTCTACTAATGTCATAATATCAGTTAACCTTTTCCTTTTATCTGAGAAAGAATTTACAAATTTAATACTAATATATGTGGTATGAGAAAAATTCCCAATTGTCCCTTTCGGACCTTACTCCAAATTGGGCCATGGGCCCAATATCAAGAATCCAAAATTGCGAGAACCCAAGTCCAAAGCATTACCAAAACCCAGACATCAACGTTTTTTTACACAGTAAACAACGACATACAGTATACTAGTAGAAAATACAACAGAAAACGTTGATCGGGATATTCAAAGTGATGGCGTCGCTTTCACCAGTATCGCTATCAACGTCTTCATCGGAGACCTCAATCGTCCCGTCAATTTATCGGAAACTTTCTGTATTACCTACCGTTGTTGTCCGTTCTTTTCCGGTCAGTTCTGTATCCATTTTCTTATGTTCTTTCTGGTATCCAAATTGAGCTATATGGTGCTGTTCCTATCGTATTCTCTTCCGTGATTTTCAATTCGTGTATGAAATTCAGTTGAAAAATTAAGTTATTTCAGAAATTATGAAGAAAATTGATGTTTATCGACTGAATGATGTTGCAATTTCAGTGATATGAATACAATAAGTTATTAAGTCCCATAAAATTTAGACGATGCAGAGAATAAGTGACTAACCCATTTATTCTACTTTCGAATTTAAGTGTTAGTGTGATTGTGCAGTTTTGTATAGAAAGTACAGAGGGGAATAATGCAGAGAGTATGTTTATATACAGATTCGCACTGATAATTTGTGAATCCTTAAAAGTAGACTTCTCGATACTTTGTAGAAGAGTAACTTGGAAGTATTGCAAATTTCATCATCAACCTTGATCTGTGTATGCTCAGTAATAACCTGCAGTAGCTAATGTTCCTATAGTAATAATTTCTGGAATAGCTAGTGTTCTGATAATTTGAAGAATTTCCAGTCCAAATCTGATAATGACTAACTAGCTATTTTCAGAAAGTGGATATCAATATCAGATTTGGACTGGAAATCAGTCAAACTGACCCTAGGAAAACATAAACAGTCAACTTTTGGTTCTGGGAGAATAAGATGTAGCTCTTGCTTGGGTGAGGCTTTGGTTGATCCTATAGCCACAGCGTCCAGTATCATGTCACTCAGTTTAACTTCAGGTGGAGTTTAGAATGTCAAATTGACTTGTCTATTATACATTTGTACTGGTAGCTGTTGAAGTCTTGATAAACCTGTTAAATTCATAACTGAAAAGTTTACTTTGATTGGGAAAGTATCATTTTAGAATTATAGCTAAACTAATCAAACAAATTTGAACTCTTAAAGTGGAACAGGATAATGTCATAAATAGAAATGTGTCAATTGAAAATGTGTAACACATTTCTATATGCCCCGATAAAATGTGATCCTTTTCACGAAATATATGATTTTTCATGTTCTGCACAATACAGTGACTGGAAGTTTTATATATACATTTTATACTAATGAAGAAGCAATTATCAAATTACAAGCATAAGGTTAATAACTGGATCTGCTAAGATTTCTATCTAATTGTGTTTCCAAATGATTGTATAACTAGTTATGTCAACCATGTTATAGTTCTGTCATGCTTCTAAAACATTTCTGTGATCCTTTCAAGACATGTTCACGGTTCACCTAAAAGGTATTGGTAAAAAATTAGAAAGATGTATAAATCCGCATCTCACATATGTTGAGTTGTATTAACATGCATGTTCTACATGCTACAGCGCCAAATTGAAGTTTTACTTCTTCTTGCATGCCCTGAATTCTTAAATTTGTTTAGTCGTGTGAACTGGTTGACCAGATGAATCTAAACCTTGGTCTATATTTTCAGTTTGATACTTCTTTATAACTTTCAATCTTCAGATCAGAAGAAGCTGGTGAATCATGTTTACCTTTTGATATCTCACTGTTCCAGCTTTCTATAATAGTGTGGTTTAGTTGGGGAATACACGTGCACTTTTTCTGGCCAATGCCATTGTGACGGTGAATATTTTTCTGGAGACTGATATATATTCTTTACTCAGAGCCATACGATAAAGAAATCCAGAACACAAATAGACTATGTGGCATATGTTCAACCTCATGATGTCAACAGACCGCGATCTTCCATAAGGTCGACCTCTTTTAATGTTGAAGGAACTGGAAGCACTACTTCACTTGATGAAGAAGTTATAATTGACACTTCTTTGACGGAGGCTTCCATAAAGTTGCCTTTGCCTTTGTTTGAGACTCAATCATCCAGTAGTGGTGCACCAACTGATGATTCAGCCTCTCTTAGCATTGCTGTTATTGGGGCCACTGGTGTACTAGCCAGAAAGAAAATCTTTCCAGCATTATTTGCTTTGTATTACAGTGGTCAACTTCCAGAGGTAGGTACATTGATCAACTACCATTGTGCTCCTTTTTGAGTTCTACGCATCTATTGAAATTTTTATTATGTTCAGTATCCATAATATTCATTTCTGATCCTGGTGGAACACAATTTCATCTTAGCTTTTTATTATATATTTCTTACTAATGAAAAATTTAATTTTTCTTTGCTACTGTCTGTCATAGCTACACCACTAATTCAATTGTTTTCTAATTGTTGTACCTCACAAGTCATATTAATTGGTGGTATAACAATAAAAACAACATACCTAGTGTGATCTCACAAGTGGAGTATGGGAGGGTATAGTGTACGCGACCTCACTCCTACCTCATAGGGAGGCTGTTCCGATAGACCCTCTGCTCAAATTTCAGAAAGTAACTATTTGAAATTATCTTTGATAGCTTGAGCTCAGCTTGATAAATTTTTTATTTAGATCAAATGTAGTAGCTTGATTAACATTGAAAAAGCCTTTTGAAGGGGTGGGGTGGTGCCATGCTTGTTGGACTGAACTAGCTGAAAGAGGTATGAGCATTAGTTTTCTTCCACATTGTGCGTTTAAGCTTTTGAGCTAGTGGTGATAACAC